GGACTGTTTCTGTCAAGCCACCGTCTTACATGGAGACCGACAACTTCTTCCCAGCGTTGGACTCAAATCGACCACATTGCCATCAGCTACCGATGACGAGGATCGATTGAAGACTGCCGCACCTACTGGTCAACAACCGTGGACACGGACCATGCTCCGCTACGAGCGAGATTCGCTCTACGCCTGGTAAACAAAAGCAGAAAAGCAACCGAAAACGGATGCCCAAGATACAATGTCNGTCAGCAATGGTTGCAAATTGACCTTCGAAGCGGAACTATCAGATCGTCAGCACAACGATCAGCCGGAGGACTCAGTGAGCACTGGACGGCAATCAAGGAGGCGATCAAAATGTCGATCGAAACAACAGCAAATTCTGACTCACGATCGAATAAAAAACGATGGATCTCCCTGTCTTCGGTTGCTTTGCTGGACGCTCGCAGAGCCATTCCTTCGGATGCAAAATACGACAAAGCGCGCAAATCCCTTAAACGGCAGCTCATCATGAGTCTGAGGAATGACCGCGGGAAGTGGTGGGTAGGAAAGTGTAGAGAGATGGAGAAGGCTGTGGCTATTGGTAATAGTCGCAATCTTTTCCGATTAATTAGAAGTACAGGACCAAGGAAAGCAGACGTAAGTGAGGTAATTAAGGAGTCCGACGGCACACTGTTCCATATTCAGCAACGCCATCGAGATCGATGGGCAGAACATTTCCAGGCCCAGTTCAGATGGCCCTCGTCAGCACAAGACCTCCCTGCACCCGATTCCACTGTGCAAATACTGCCAGTTGACATCAGTCTTCCATCTGAAATAGAGGTTACCCGAGAAATAAGGCTTCCGGCCCCGACAGGCTGTCCCCATCGGTTTTCAAGGTTGGAGGTCTAGCCTCGGTTTTGGAGTTAACAAAACTCCTGGGTTCAGTGTAGGAAAAGGAACAGGTTTATACTGAATGGTGGGAATCGGTGATCATACCGATTTACAAGAAGGGCGACAGGTCCTCTTATGAAAACCACAGAGAAATTAGTTTAATTAACATAGCCTCTAAACTTCTCGCTGGAATCATACTTCGCCGATTGTCTGCCGCTCGTGAAGAGTGCACACGTGAGAACCAGGCTGGTTCTAGACCAGATCGAGGTTGTACCGACCACATCTTCACTCTTCGTCAAATTCTAGAACATAAACATTTTTCATAGACCCACCATTTCTATTTTCCTCGATCTAAAAGCGGCTTTCGACTCAGTCGACCGCTGTAAACTCCGGCTCTGCCTTTCCCTGAAGGGTGTGCCCGATAAGTTTATTTCAATATTACAATCCTTCTATAATGATAGCCGAAGCTGATTCCGAGCGTACGGCACTTTTTCACCCGAGTTCACCACGGAAAGTTGTGTTCGACAGGGTTGCCCCCTCGCTCCATTTCTGTTTAACTTTGTTATAGATTTAATTCTTGAAACAGTCCCATCCTCGTGCGGGGATGGCGGCATCGATTTATTCCCAG